GCTCGTGCTCACCTGCGCCCACGTCGTGCGCAACGTGAGTATTACGCCGCTCGCTTGCCCCCCCCCCCTCCAGTTCGTGTTGCGTAACCCCAGGCGCCCTCCGCCACGCCGTTTCATCCCCAGGCGCCGCCGTCGCGAACGGACGGCGCGGGGCCGCGGTTACTTAAAGGGGCGATAGCGTTTCTCCAACGAGAGTCTTTGCCTCGTTCGTGCACAAGTTCGCTCACAGAAGTTCGTTCGACTGAGTTAACAATATTATATATAATGATTTTGTCACTCTGATTATTGAGCCCCAAAAACTGTGAACTTCAGAACAAAAAATATAATTTCTGAGAAAGTTAAAGAAGCCCACGAATTTATTGCAGGTGGCAAAATAATAAAAGTAATTATTTAGCTAAAAAACATAAAAATTAAGGAGTTATTGTAGTAAGGGAATTGTGTCCTTCCGGCACACATTCCAGCACTGAACAGCTTCGTTTTGGGGACTCCAACAGCGTCTCAGCCTGCATTATGGACTGTTTGTATCAAACGGAGGGGGGCGCGGATTACAAAACGTGTCGCGGAGTTTGAAGAAACACACTACCGATAGTGCAAAACTGTCTCGTTACTTCCGACAACAACACGCGGTGGAACTCACAACTCAGAAGAACTAAGGGGCTGGGTTTTGGAAGAATCTGAAAAGAATGCCTTTTCTAATGTAAAGATGGTGGTTTCTCATATCCTTTACGATAAACAATGTTTATAAGTGGTACATTAGTAGATCACGTATTGCTGTTGCATTTAACAGAAATTTCTCTCTCGCTGCAATTATGAATATATTTTCAGGACATTGAGTTGCCTCATTTGAAACGAATTATGCTACGGCACCATGAGAAAAAGTAAATGATGTAGGTGTCAGGGTTATTGTTACTCTACCTCAAAACTGGCGAGCCTTGGGACTTTCATTCACTGGATATTTGTGTCATCGTGGATCACTGATGTCAATGGGGTTGACGTATGCTTCACGCATAACACAGGTGCGCTTTCAAGGACTGGGAAGCGAAGAAGTAATAGTCGAAATTACGATCTGTAACCTTTCCATTCGACCACGGCTCGAGTTGTCAATCAGAAAAGAGGAACTTTTGAATGCAAACGATTTTAAGGACGTTGCAATAAATTAAATTTTCAGCGAGAAATACACATTGCTTGTGCTTGTACTTGTTCAGTGCTGGAAAATGTTTCGGAAGCAGCTACATTCCTTACTTATTTCTTGTTTCTTAATTGTTATTTCAAGTTCTTTAAAAAATGTATAAATATTTGTTTTGTTAGTCTTATTAATAAGTAAGCAGCAATGTACATGAAGGCGGTAGTTTATTTCAATTTATCAATAATGAAACTAGTAGTTACAATAGCACATACTTCCTCGCATTAATTGTAAAAGCTACGCACCATTATAATACTATTTGAATCTGCAAACGTTTCTCCAACCCAATGAATTTTCCACCCTTGGATCCAAACTCAATTTCTTTATGTCAGTGTTCTCACACCATTCACGTTACCCAAACAGCATCATCTCAGGTAAACTCCACCTTTCTTACACTTAAAAAAAAGTTGAACATTCCACTAACTCAGAGATTTTTTGATATTACGTCAAGAGGTAGATTTTTTTATTCATAAAGAATATCGTTCAGCAATATATTGTAGTTTTGTCATGTTTCAAGGTGACAAGCGAGGCAAGTTGTGTGATAGTTTAGAGGTCTCGATGTGCGCAGGCGGCGGCGCCGGGGGCGGGGCCGGCCGAGGCGGAGGCGGGGCTGGCGGTGCGCGTGTGGTGGCACGGGCGCGCGCGCGAGGCGCGCCTGCTCTACCGCACGCCGCCCGGGCGCGCCTTCGACGTGGCCGTGCTGCAGCTGGACGACGCCCACGCCCACGACGCCCACGACGCCCCGCGCGGGCTGCGCATCGCCGCCACCCCCGCACGCAGAGGTGAGCGCTCCCCGCCACCCCACGCCCACGCCCCACCCACCGGCCGAGGTGGCTCAGGGCGTCTATTGAATCGTTTATTTCAGAAACCCGTCAAACGCCAAATTCCTCATCTCGAGAAAACTGACGAAAAGTCTCCCAAGTTTCCTGAATTCAAAATATTTTATTTTATATTATAATATAACAAAATATTTTTATTTATTAAAGCACTTGATAAATGAATATTTTTTTCATATAAATATGCACCACACGATATGTCTATCCTCTTGGAACAATAATTCGCCGCTAATGCGTGTTTTGGATTTTGGCATGTGACGGGTTTCTGAAATGAACGATTCATGATGTCACTGCAGTGCGGCTGACCAGGAGAGCCTACGGTTCAACTCCTCACGGTTGCAGGATTTTTTTATCTCACTGGCTGCATAGCTAGTAGAGATGCGACATCGATTTCTAAACATCGATGTTCAAAATTAAAACATCGACTAAAACTATCAATGTTTTTCAATATCGGTGATTTTAGACTGTTTAAGTAACCTCTAGCATTAAATTGTTGAGCGTTAAAATTTAATTTCATGCCCAGAATAGAGGATACACGATGCGTCATATTCATCTTCTTGAAAGTGTTCCAGCTGGGATGGTACCCCGCTGGCGGGATATACCGAATTGGGGAAAACTCATCTAGCCGACGTAGACATGTAGTTAGGCACCGGATCTAAAGTGGCAGAATCGGAAACGGATGTATTGAAAACAAACAGAAACGAATCCTTTCTGCAGTCGTTTCCGAGATACATAGAAGTGGAAAAGTCTCCAGGACCCCTTGGTCGCTTTCTCGGCGCCTCTCCATAAAATGTTCATCTCGGCGCAGTCGAGCAGTCACGCAGAATTGCGCGTGGATACTCTGTATGGCGTCATGTGCCTTTAAATGGGCCTCGGGGTCGCAAGATGTCGAGGCTGAACGTTAGTTCTACACGCGGAAATTTACGTAACCAGTTAATAAAGTCAAACTATTTCATTGTTTATTTAAAATTATCTACAGCTTGTATTGTATTGCTATAAGGATGGTCTGTGAAAATCAATTATATTTGTCTGGTTTTGTCGTATGTTTTCAGTTTTGAGACTATATCTTCCTCAATTACTGACGTTAGTAGAATTGTACATTTCCGTCATTACGTCGCTGGATTTACAAAGAAAATATTGGAAATAATGGTCAATGATGATTTCCTTTCATGTGATAATCGGTTATTTTAAAAAGATGCAGTGGTTCGATTATGAGTAATGGGAGCAAGGGTAAGAGGGAAAACGTTGAGACGAAATATAATGAAAAATGAAGATATAAAGATTTTAAATGCATTTGGGAAATATTATGAAAGTAGGTTAAACGAACAAGTAAACCGTCTTAACTGCAATGGTGTGTTGTAGAGATAACCCAAGTTTTTATTTTATGTTGTGGACAAACACATTAAAGATAGTATTGTTCGGAAAGTTACCTAGATGTCTACCTAAACGCACGCTCAAAGAACATAATGAAATGCCTTAATAAAACAAATTTTGTATTTACAGAGTTTTTGGAACAATTGTGTGCAATTAAGTCTCCATATGGTAACAGGACCTCACTATTCGAATTCGGGTTCCAGTATAAAGCTATTTGCACTTTTAAGATAACGAGACACCAAGTGCGGAATGTTCGCATGTGTCCAGTAAGGACTAATAGTTAATCAAATTTGCACAGGAGTCGTATTTAAAGCATATTTTCCAATATATATGTACACATATACACATACATATATAGGATACTGGAATACTTTACAATCATAACGGATGCTGGAAGTTGATTCCGTTTCCTAGTGATCTGGTTGCTACGAATATAAATGAAATTTTTAATAAGAGCCCCTGATTCGGCTCACTGCGGAGAATATTTTCTGGCGCACGTTATATGTATACGTATATTATACACACACACACACACGCATACATTTACCATATGTTCCCCGCAGGTCCCTCCTCACGATACTCCATACATGAGCCTCTACATGTTTCTTAACATATTCTCCGCGTGTTCCAAAGCATATTCTCCCGCAAATTGCCCGACATTTACTGACATCATCACAGCATGTCTTCTCACATCTGGTTAATCTGGAAATCAAACAGGAAATTTAAAATTTTAATTTCAGTGTTGACAGACAGTGCAATTACTTTCCTGACGGGACGTTCTGAATAACTAGAGTAGTATCAACGAATTAGAACGTAAAAAAATGAATATAATTGTATACCACGACAGAAAAAATATAACTTGTGTAACTTTCGGAAGTCGAAAACTTACTTTGAAAGCCCGAGGATGCGCTTTTTTCACAAATGCAAGTTTCTAAAATGTGTATCACCGTAATGTGTGTTCCGAGAATCATGGGCTCCTGATACCCCACTTATGCCACAACCTGCGAACTTCTGTGTTTATCTTAAATCTCTCTGAAGCAGAACTGGGGAGTAATTATAAGCCCTACACAGCAGTAGAGGACTTGCAGGCTTTTGTAACCATGGTTTCTCATCAGCCGTCCCCTTTCATTAGCGAACGATTCAGGCTGCGAATAAATGTTACAAACGTTGAAGGCATGCGGAATAGTCGATCATTTTTGCCAATTAACTTGTGGTGGGAAGTTTTCATGTAACGAGTTGCACTTCTGATATTTGTCCTTGATAGTCAGGCAACTCCTTATGCTCAGGTGTTCGGCGAGACACAATTTGGTGCTGTCGAGATTTTATTAGCCGACCGTACATCTGTGCATATAGGATTGAATAATAATTAGGAGCAAATGTTACATGTCCCACTGCACCTTCATTGGCGAAAAGTGATCATTTTTGTCTTTTCTACATGCCTTAGAAGTTTGTAAC